TTCTGATGAACAGGGAGTTACGTAATGTTTGGGTAGCAGTCGCTTTACCCATGCGCTTACACGGGGGCGGTGCAGCCTGGCTTGCCGGAGGGGCGGGGGAGGCAGGGAGCCTGGGAGGCAGGAGCCTGCGTCTGCACCGCAGTTTCTGCTGGTGACTTGCTATGTGACTTTCGGCCTGTCTCTCTCCCTCTCTAGGCCGGTCTCTATACACAGAGGGTGGAAGCACATCACTGTTTTTCTTTTCTTTTCGAGATGGAGTCTCACTCACTTCATCACCCAGGCTGGAGTTCGGTGGCATGATCTTGGCTCCCTGCAACCTCCGTCTCCTGAGTTCAAGTGATTCTCCTGCCTCAGCCTCCTAAGTAGCTGGGATTATAGACATACACCACCAGGCCCAGCTAATTTTGGTATATTTAGTAGAGACGGGGTTTCGCCATGTTGGCCAGGCTGGTCTGGAACTCCTGACCTCAGGTGATCCCCCTGCCTCTGTCTCCCAAAGTGCTGGAATTACAGGCATGAGCCACTGTGCCTGGCCACGCATCCCTGGTTTTCTTACTGTGCCCACAGAGCTCTTAGGTCCTAGCTGGGGTCTCGGGGGGGGTCCCTGTTCCACGGGGCTCAGAAAGAAGGAGTCAGACACGTGGGCTCTTGCTCCCTCCGCCCCTGCCTGGCAATTTGTGTGTTTATTCATTTAGCTTACCGGACAAACATGCACCAGGCCCACGTTACACGCCAGGCCTCATGCGGGTCATCAGGGCACAGGGGTGTCGGGAGCCTGCATTCCAGTTGGGACTGGCCTGGAGGCGCATATGGTGTAGCGTGGTCCACTCTGCTGGGATGGATAAGCGGGCAGGGGAGCAGAGGAAGCCCTGAGGCTTCAGACCGGCTGGGCCTACTTCCTGAAAAAAGCAACATCAGCTTGGTGCAGTGGCTCATGCCTGCATTTAATCCCTGCATGTAATCCCAGCATTTTGGGAGGCCAAAACAGGTGGATCACGAGGTCAGGAGTTTGAGATCATCCTGGCCAACATGGTGAAACCTTGTCTCTACTAAAAATACAAAAATTAGTTGGGCGTGGTGGCAGGCACCTGTAATCCCAGCTTCTTGGGAGGCTGAGGCGAGAGATTCACTTGAGTGAGCCCAGGAGGTGGAGGTTGCAGTGAGCCGAGATTGCGCCACTGTACTCCAGCCTGGCGACAGAGCAAGACTCCATCTCAAAATAAAAAAAAAAAAAAAAAAAAAAAGTCAGGAAAGCTTCATTCAGGACTCTTGCAATAGGTGTCAGGACTATCACAACCCCGGAGAGAGGGGCTCAACCCTGAATGCGAGGAAAAGTGAGGCTTTACCACCAGCGAACAGGGTGAGGGCTCAGTGCCTGGAAACGAGCAAGAGAGGCCTCCAGGGCAGGGCATTCCTGCTGAACCGACCGGGCAGGCTGATGCGGGGGCAGGACAAGGACTCACCGAGGAGCTTGATCAGATATCGTGGTGTAGGGATTCTGGCTACAGCTGGGCCAGGCAGGCCGAAGACCTGGGGCAGGGGCCAGGGGACAGATTGAGGCCAAGTGAGAAGAGGGCTCAGAGGAGCCTATCCGAAGTCTGGGTGTGGGGTATGCGGTCTCTGGCAGAAGGAAGCTGCAACAGCAGGCTCGGCACCCCCTCATGGCCATTGCTTCAAGGGGGGCTTCTTGGAGCCCTGCTAATGGCACGGAAGGGGGCTGGGGCCCCACAGTGATAAACTCTGCAGTGGTAATCGGATAGGCCCCCAGAGGCTCCCCACCCAGGCTGGCCTTCCTCCACACAGCCCCTCGCTGCCCACCTTCCACAGTCGCACGCTACTCAGACTGCACAGCCTCTCTCTCCTTAGAGTGGCCCCTGTGAGCCATCTGCAGGGACGCCTTTGGATGCCTTTTGTTTTGTCTTTATTGTGTTTAATAACCTTTTAGAATCACTCAAGTAGCCCGGACCTATTGTGGATAAGTTAGAAGGTTTGCAGGAAGAAGTAACCACCTGGCATCCAGGGAGGTCTGGGGACAGCTGGGTGTGTCCCCACACGGGTCATTACGCCCTGGTGCCAGGCATGTTTCCCCCGCTGCCCAGGGGCCCATCCTGGCTTGGGGTTCTGGGGTCATGGGCCAGGCTGAAACAGAAGAAACTGGAAGGAAGCAGGGAAAAGGCAGCTTTAAGGGCTGGGAGTGGGGGTGGCTGTGTCCCTTCCTCCTGCTGTGGGAAGGGACTTGAGATCCACAGTGGCATGATCTTGGCTCAGTGCAACCTCTGCCTCCCAGGTTCAAGTGACTCTCCTGCCTCAGCCTCCTGAGTAGCTGGGATTACAGACATGCACCACCAGGGCTGGCTACTTTTTGTATATTTAGTAGAGACGGGGTTCAACCTGTTGGCCAGGCTGGTCTTGAACTCCTGACCTCAAATGATCCGCCCACCTCGGACTCCCACAGTGCGTGATGACAGGCGTGAGCCTCTGCGCCCGGCCTCACACCTGTGGTTTTCTGACTCTGTCCTGCTTTACTTCCTTCTTGCTTGGCTGATCCAAGCAGGGGCTCAGAACAGATCTCAGTGCTGAGCAGAGGCCAGTAGGCCCCGAAAGTCCCGCCAGGCTGCAGGGATTCTGGGTGGGCCTGTGGTCATCACCTGCACAGGAGGGACAGATGCTGGGGTCGCAGGCTGGCAGGCAGGGCAGAGGACAGAAGTGGGGCCGGCTCCGAGTCTCACCAGTTGCTGTGGGTGAATCTCCTGACCTCTTCGTGCCTCAGCATCTGCATCTGTGAAATGGGATGGTTGGGCCAGCCGCCGTGGGTGTGCAGGGCGAGTTGAGGGGGAACCACCCAGTCTCACAGTGCCCGGGATGGGGCTGCTGTCATGGGTTGCTACAAAGGCCGGTGATTCCTGAGCCGGGACCTACCTCCTTGGGCCTCTAGCACCCTTCAAGGTGTTCTGGGGTAGGGACGGGAAAAGGTGCAGAGGGCTGGCCTATTCACGACCTGCTTGCTGTGGGCACTGCTGGGATGGTCTTGTGCCCGCTGTGGTCTGATTAAAGAATAACTCCTCTCCCTCCCACATCCCACCCTGTCTTCTCTGCCCTCCCCCATCCTCCTCCCCCACTCAACCGCCCTCACCCCGGCAGCAGCAGCCACAGTACTGGCTGGAGGCTGGGTGCCTGAGTTTCGCCATTCAGGCCGCAGAATGTTCAAGGGTCCCACCCCTGGGTGCCCCGCATGTCCCTTCAGGTCCTCGTGTGCCCAGGGTCCATTCCAGTCCCTCAGATTCCTCTTTACTGGGGAGGGGGATGGTGGCTTTTCCACGTGCGCCCTCTCTGGATGGGCCCTAATCACAGCGCCACATGCCATTTCCTGCGCGGTCATCCCAGAACTGGCTCTGATGTTGGAGGGAAGGGTGGAGGCTTTGCGTGAGTCACATTGAAGGGGGATCGGGGGGGCGGTGTGAAAGTCGGCGGGTGATCTGGTTTCTTGCGCATTGGCCTCTTCAGCATTCACCTCTGATCCCCACCTCCTCTGTAGCCTGGGCTTCGAGGACTTGCAAATGTCTTCCTCTCTCTGAGCCTGTTTTCACATCTTTAAAATGAGCTTCTTCAACCTGGCACCATGGCTCATGCCTATAATCCCAGCATTTTGGGAGGCTGAGGCAGGCAGATCACCTGAGGTCAGGGGTTTGGGACCAGCCTGGCCAACATGGCGAAACCCCATCTCTACTAAAAATACAAAAATTAGCTGGATGTGGTGGCACATGCCTGTAATCCCTGCTAATCAGAAGGCTGAGGCAGGAGAATCGCTTGAACTCAGGAGGTGGAGGTTGCAGTGAGCCGAGATCGTACCATTGCTCTTCATCTTGGGCAACAGAGAGAGACTCCGTCTCAAAAAAAAAAACAAACAAAGCTTCCTGACAGTACCTCTTCATAGGGCTGTTAGGAGCATTCTGGGAGAAAAAGGTGTGCAGAGTTCCCAGTTGGGTCTGGCCCTGCAAAGGTAATAGCTGGTGTTGGTGACAGCTGACTGCTTTCTCTGGCTTCCCGTTGTGGAAGGAATCGTCGTCTGAGGAGTGTGCGACCCCCTGCGGTGGGGTGGGAGGGACGGTTCCACAGCACACAGGAGCCAGCTTGTGAACTGGTTCAGAGCAACACATATTTAAGTTCACAGTTCTAAAGTTCACACTATTGGCCCTTTTTTGTGCCGAGCCCTGTGGTTACATGCACCATGTCCCTCATACCAACAAGGTGGGTGTGAGAACCATCCCTTTTTATAGATGAGGAAACAAGTGAGGGCATTTGCTTGAGGTTGCACAGCTAGTGACTGGCAGAGATTTGGCCTGGGATTGGGGGTACAAAGCCATCCCACCGTCCTCCACCTGGGGATCTGGAGGATCTCGTGCTGGGCACCAGGACTACAGGGCAGACAAATCCGGTCGGAACAGCCAGGGTCCCTCCATGCTGTTTACCCAGTTCCCTGGGAACAGAGGCTGAGGGGCGGGGTGTGGGCATGTGGGAGGGGCCAGCTGCCGGCTCCATATGGTGGTCTACCCACCAGTACCCAGCAGCAGCCTGCTCGGCTGTGATGCCAGGAGGGGCTCAGCGGAGAAGGCAGGGAGGTGGGAGGGTCTTGCGCAGGCATGCGGCTTCTGGGAGGCCATTCATGTGACTCTTAGCCCCCATGGGTGGAGCACAGGGCTGGGTGGCCACATGCTCACTCTGTGTGCAGTATCTGGGTTAATTCCTATGTCCGCTCTTAACCCCCTCATACAGACGAGGCTCAGAGAGGTGAAGTCTGTATCCAAGGTCACACCATAGTGAGAGGCAGAGGTGGGACTGTGCCCGTGCCTGTCAAGTCTGGGTCTGTGCCCACAGCACGATGTGGCACCATCTCTTTGAACAAGGAGCCACAGCTTTCCTGGGCCCTGGGCGGGCGATATTGGTGGGTGGGTGATGTTGGCATCTCTTTTACCCTCTCTGGCCTGGTCTGCTGCCTCCAGGTACAAAGGCTTCATCAAGGATTGCCCCAGTGGGCAGCTGGATGCAGCAGGCTTCCAGAAGATCTACAAGCAGTTCTTCCCGTTCGGAGACCCCACCAAGTTTGCCACGTTTGTTTTTAACGTCTTTGATGAAAACAAGGTGAGCTGGGGATGGATGGGGCCCGAGGCAGTCCGGAGCCTCTTCCTTCCCGCGGCAGCTGGCTCAGCTCCCGTGGGCACCTGCAGCGCCTCCACACCCACGCTATCCTGCTGATGTTCCCTCTGGAGAAGAAACACACACAAGGGCATGCTGGCACACACATATACACAGTTGCACATAAATGCATGCACACGTACACATGCAGATACACACATGATAAACACAGATGCATTCAAATGCATGCATACATGTGTGCACACATATGTACACCCACTCATGCACACTGTCATGCACATCTAAGCTCTCACACAGAGGTGTATGTGCACATACACTCAAATACCATGCACGCACGCAGCACACATACAGGGAGATGCATATGAACACACATGTATACTCATACAGTGCACACAGACACATCTATGTCCATACAGTGCACACACATGAACACATATCTATGCTAATACAGTGCACACATGAACACACATGTACACTCATACACTGCACACGAACACACATCTGCTCATACAGTACACACACATGAACACACATGTATACTCAAACAGTGCACACGAACACATCTGTGCTCATAATGCACACACATGAACACACATGTATACTCATACACTGCACACACATCTGTACTCATACACTGCACACACATCTGTGCTCATACAGTGCACACATGAACACGCATGTATACTCATACACTGCACACGAACACACATCACTCATACACTGCACACGAACACACATCTGTGCTCATACAGTGCACACACATGAACACACATGTATACTCATACAGTGCACACACATGGACACACATGTATACTCATACAGTGCAAACACATCTATGCTCATACAGTACACACATGAACACACATGTATACTCATACAGTACTCACAAACATACATCTATGCTCATACAGTGCACACACATGAACATGCATCTATGCTTATGCAGTACACACACGAATACAAATGTATACTCATACAGTGCACACGAACACATCTATGCTCATACGGTGCACACACATGAACACATGTATACTCATACAGTGCACAGAAACACATCTATGCTCATACAGTGCACACACATGAACACATGTATAGTCATACACACATGAACACATGTATAGTCATACAGTTCACAGATAGTCATACACACATGAACACATGTATAGTCATACAGTTCACAGAAACGCACACATATGCATAATGCATGGATTTGCAGGTGCACACACATGTACACACAGACACACATATATACCTGCACATGTATACCATGTACACACATGCATGTATACACTTATATATATATGCATGTACACTCTGACATTTCTCTTACAAGCATGAATGCAAATGCCTCCAGTGATAACAAGATTAATAGTAATAGCTAATTTTTACTGAACATTTATTATGCATAAGCTCTTCACATCGATTTTTTTCTGAGACAGAGTCTCGCTCTGTCACCCAGGCTGGAGTACAGTGGCTCAGTCTTAACTCACTGCAACCTCTGCCTCCCGAGTTCAAGTGATTTCCCCTGCTTCAGCCTCCCAAGTAGCTGGGATTACAGGCACCTTCCACCAGGCCTGGCTAATTTTTGTATTTGTAGTAGAGATGGGGTTTCACCGTGTTGCCCAGGTTGGTCTCGAACTCCTGACCTCAGATGATCCACCTGCCTTGGTTTCCCAAAGTACTGGGATTACAGGTGTGAGTCACCACGCCCGACCATACATGGATTATTTTTAATGAGGCCTTACAAGCACCTGGGAGCTGGGTACTTTAATGCCCATATTGCAGGTCAGGAAACTGAGGCTCTGGGAATCATAAGCTATAGGATCTTTTGTTCCTGGCTTTTTCCACTGAGCGTCGCATTTTCAGGACTCACCATGTGATAGCTCGTGTTCCCTTCGGGCAGTGGCGGCACCGACTGCTGTTGGGTTTTCTGCGATGACCCCGGTTCTGTCCCGCAGTAGCATTTGAGGGTGGATTGACTGTCACTTGTCCCTGTACCCCCTGCTGCTGGCACCGAGAAGGTTTCTATTCTGTCACACCCCCACCTTCTCCCAGGTTCCCCCAGGTTGGGAGTAACCCTCCTGACCCTGGGGAGGGCTCTTCCCTTCTTTGGCCTCAGTTTCTTATTTGCAAATAACAGGTGGAATTCAACAGCCTGCAGTGGCCCTCCCTCTGCAAAAGCCTGTGAGCCCACAGCTCCAGGCCGAGGAGTTTCCAGGTGCCATTGCTGAGAGGGACGCAGGCGCTGGTGCTTCTGGCACCTTCTTCCATCAGGAGTGGAGTCGGCCTCTCTGTTCAGTTTCAGCCCCTCTTCCAGTCCCTCCCTCCCGGCCCCTCCCACTCCTAACCCCCACCCAGTCCCCCAGCCTCTGCTCCTGGCCCTCTCCTTGCCCCCCATCCCTTCGAGCCTGCCCTCTCCACCTGAGTGTTCATTGGCCACAGTGTCTGGAGCCTGCGACTGCCCCTTGCCCGCCTCCGGGGTTCAGCCTGACCAGGTGGCCTGGCCGGCACTGACGGAGGCCATCCCCTCTCTCTCCTGTCAGGACGGGCGGATCGAGTTCTCTGAGTTTATCCAGGCGCTGTCGGTGACCTCGAGGGGGACCCTGGATGAGAAGCTGCGGTGTAAGTCCAGCTCCTTTGGCCCTGTAGGGCAGCAGCTGGCGGGCCCAGGCAAGAGGGAGGCAGCCCTAGGCCCTCACCAGGCAGGGGCACTAGACGCTCACCGCAGTGACCACAGATGGTGTCTGTCCACCATCCCAGCTGTGTCTGTCCACAGAGGGCAGGCCTGGGCCCTGGGCAGGTAGCCCTCACACGGCCAAGTTACTAGGCCAGGCCAGCTGTCCTGGGTTCAGAGAGTAGCACAGACATCGGCGCTTCCAGGTCAGAGGGTTTCCTGGAGGTGGCCGGCAGCAGGAAGGAGGCTCGCTGAGGCAGGTGGGCAGGGAGGGCTGCGGGCAGAGGCTGGCAGGAGCCTTGGCTACACTCGGGCAGGTGCAGACCTGGGCAGCGGGAGAGGCTGTGGGGACCCAAGACCCAAGTTCAGTGCCGGACCCCCCTCTTTCATAGCCATTGCTTTGATTCCGGCTTTCACTCCTTCACTTACTCACTTGTTCATTCAGCAAATGACGACTGCAGGCAGCCGGGTGTTGGTACCAGGGACCCACTGGGGGATAAGACAGATAGGTGCTGCTCTCGCAGCTGGCACTCTAGTGTGGCAGCAGGATGTACAAAAACCTCCGGAAGCTGCAGGCGAGGAGGAGAGGGAGTCGTGAGCAGGAGGGGACCTGCCCGGTAGGCGCTGGGCTGGGGTCAGGGGAGCTGGGGTCGGGTGCAGGGGCTCCAGGCAGGGGGCCCGCATGTGCGAGGCCCATGGAGGGAGGCTGTTCAGGCCCCTGGCGGCATTAGCAGGAATGCAGGGAGCGTGAAGGGTGGGGAAGATGGAAACCCTGTGGCCAGAGCTCCCTGCTCGGGAAGACTTTCACACTCCATTCTGCCGGCAGCCAGAAGACCCTGCAGTTTCTATTGATTGATTGATTGATTGATTGAGATGGAGTCTCACTCTGTTGCCCAGGCTGGATGCAGTGGCATGATCTTGGCTTACCACGACCCCCACCCCCCGGGTTCAAGTGATTCTCCTGCCTCAGCCTCCCGAGTATCTGGGACTACAGGCACATGCCACCACTCCCAGCTAATTTTTGTATTTTTAATAGAGACAGGGTTTCACTATGTTGGCCAGACTGGTCTTGAACTCCTGACCTCGTGATCCACCTGCCTTGGCCTCCCAAAGTATTGGGATTATAGATGTGAGACACTGTGCCTGGCCTTTTTTTTTTTTTTTTTTTTTTAAGGAATAAAAGAGAATTTTATTTATGCAAAAGCTCCTCCTCGAGATGCACTATTTATTATCTAATGTTGACGTCAGGGACACAGCATAACTGTGGGAGCCAAGTGCACCATGGGGAGGAGGCAGGGGCTGGAGTGAGGGAGGGAGGAGGGTGGCGGGTGGACTCCTCTGGGCCACACCCCGGGCCCCTGGCTTCCCACTCACTCGACTCCAGCCTCTGAGGCCTTAGCCCTAGCAGCCCAATGCCTCTTCCCTTTATTTTATTTATTCTTTTAGAGACAGAGTCTTGCTTTGTCACCCAGGCTGGAGTACAGTGGTGTGATCTTGGCTCACTACAACCTCTGCCTCCCGAATTCAAGTGATTCTCGTGCCTCAGCCTCCCAAGTAGCTGGGGTTACAGGTGCCCCCCACCATGCCTGGCTAATTTTTGTATTTTTAGTAGAGACGGGATTTCACCATGTTGGCCAGGCTGGTCTCGAACTCCTGACTTCAGGTGATACATCCATCTCGGCCTTCCAGAGTGCTGGGATTACAGGCGTGAGCCACTGTGCCTGGCCCCGTTATTTTTAATTAATTAATATATATGTATATGTGTATGTACGTGAATATATATATATATGTGTATGGAGAGAAAGAGAGAGAGAAGGAGAGAAAGCAAGAGAGAGGGTCTTGCTCTGTCACCCAGGCTAGAGTGCAGTGGCTTGATCTTGGCTTATCATAACCTTCACCTTTTCTGCTCAAGCCATCCTCCCACCTCAGCCTCGAAAGTAGCTGGAACTACAGGCACATGCTACCACGCCTGGCGAATTTTTGTATTTTTGTTGAGATGGGGTTTTGTCATGTTGCTCAGGCTGGTCTCGAACTCCTGAGCTCAAGCAATCCACCCGCCTCAGCCTCCCAAAGTGCTGGGATTACAGACGTGAGCCACCACGCCCAGCCTTATTTATTTTTAACCCTAGTTGCAATGGTGTGTGTGTGTGTGTGAGTGTGTGTGTGTGTGTGTGTGTGTGTGCCCGTCTGTCCCTATCTTGATGTAAATATTTGTTGACTTGATGAAGAATGGGCCATCCGGTCTCTAACTTCATGTTGGGGTACAGAGAGAAGGGGTGAGCTGAAGACCCCTCCCAGCCGCCCCAGCCCGGGGGTCACTCGGCGCTGGTTGCTTGCTTACAGGGGCCTTCAAGCTCTATGACTTGGACAACGATGGCTACATCACCAGGAATGAGATGCTGGACATTGTGGACGCCATTTACCAGATGGTGGTGAGAGGCCAGTTCCCGTGGGGTGGGGGGGTGGCAGGAGGGGCAAAGCCAGTGACTGAGAGGGTGACAGCACCTGCCCAGGGTGGGAGTGGGGGCCCCTGGTTGAGCTGTTCTGTTCTGTACATCTCTGCCTGGGCAGGCAGGCAGGCAGGCAGGGGCTGGCAGCGAGTGGGGCTGGGGTGTGGGATATTCTAGGGCAGAATGGCAGGGATGGGGCGGGGAAAGAAGAGGGAGGCGGTTCTCATCTGGAACCTGCCAGGTCTGGGGGGCAAATGTGTGGCCAAGAGCCCAAAGCCCAGGGTGCCAGGCCCCAGTCCCGCCTTGTCCGTCCCTGCAGGGGAACACCGTGGAGCTCCCCGAGGAGGAGAATACTCCAGAAAAGAGAGTGGACCGGATCTTTGCCATGATGGACAAGGTGAGGTGGAGCTGGGACTGGTCTCGGACCCGGGAGGCAAAGGGTCGGGGCAGGCATTGGGGTCCCTGGAGCCTGGGCCTGGCTCTGCTGCCATCGCCTATGGGGCTGGCTCACGGCAGGCGGCACGGCGTGGTGGCACATCCATGGTCAGCAGCCAGCCCCATCCAGTGTCACGAGCAGGCGTCCCCAAACTTTTTACACAGAGGGCCAGTTCACTGTCCCTCAGACCGTTGGAGGGCCGCCACATACTGTGCTCCTCTCACTGACCACCAATGGAAGAGGTGCCCCTTCCTGAAGTACGGCGGGGGGCCGGATAAATGGCCTCAGGGGGCCGCATGTGGCCCGCGGGCCGTAGTTTGGGGACGCCTGGTCCAGAGTCTTAAGTCAGTTTGCCCGGTGTGTTTTCTTTAATCAACCGAAGTCCTTAGGCTTTTATTGGTTTTGGTTTGCCACGGACTCCTTTGGCATTCTGGAGAAGCCTACGGACTTCTCAGAATAATGGCTTTCAGTGCATAAAATAAAATGCACAAGATCAAAAAGGAAGCTGATTATTTTAGAAAACAGCTGTCAGAGTATTTTTAAAAAAGAATCTGTGATGCAGTGCTCTGTGAGCTGCTCTTCTTAACGCATTAACTAAGATGTAGTGGTGGGGCCGGGCCGACAAGCCCTGAGATTGGGAGCTGTCCTATCTGCAACTGGGATGCTATGAAAATACCTGTGACCCCACTGTCGACAGATCAGGGGGACTGCAGGTCCTGTTGGGGACCATCATCTAGGTTCCTATAGAAGGAAAAGCCACATTTCAGTTAGAGATTAGTGAAAAGAAAGACTGATTTTTTTCCCCCGAGTTCACAGACCTGCTGACTTCTATCCACAGGCCCAAGGTTAAGAAACCCTTCTTTAAAGGGAACCATAGGCCAGGTGCCGTGGCTCACGCCTCTAATCCCAACACTTTGGGAGGCCAAGGCAGGTGGATCACCTGAAGTCAGGAGTTCGAGACCAGCCTGACCAACATGGTGAATACCTGTCTTTACTTAAAAAAAAAAAAAAAAAAAAAAAAAAAAAATTACCTGGGCGTGGTGGCACATACCTGTAATCCAGCTATTTGGGAGGCTGAGGCAGGAAAATTCCTTGAACCCAGGAGGCGGAGGTTGCAGTGAGCCAAGATCACACCACTGCACTCCCACCTGGGCCACAAGAGTGGGTCTCAAAAAAAAAAAAAAAAAAGGTGGGGGGCAGGCGTGGTGGCTCACGCCTGTAATCCCAGTACTTTGGGAGGCTGAGGTGGGTGGATCACAAGGTCAAGAGATCGAGACCATCCTGGCCAACATGGTGAAACCCCATCTCTACTAAAAAAATACAAAAATTAGCTGGGTGTGGTGGCGCGCACCTGTAGTCCCAGCTACCTGGGAGACTGAGGCATGAGAATTGCTTGAACCTGGGAGGCGGAGGTTGCAGTGAGCCGAGATTGCACCACTGCACTCCAACCTGGCACCTGGAGACAGATCAAGACTCTGTCTCAAAAAAAAAAAAAAAAAGGAACCGTAGACACCGGGGCCCTCTTGAGGTTAGAAGGCGGGAGGAGTGTGACGATTGAAGCAGGTATGCTTATCATCTGGGGGATGAAATAATCTGTACAGCAAACCCCCACAACACGGGAATTACTTAAATAACAAACCTGCACGTGCATCCTTGAACCTAAAATAAAAGCCTAAAAAAAGGACTCCAAAAAAAAAAAAAAGGAATCCTTCTTTAAATCAAACTTTTTTTTTAAACTAAAATAACTTTTTAAATGGAAATTTGAAATAATGATGTTAAGGAAATCCAGCGTTACTAGCCTTCAGTAAAATAATATAAAATGACCAGTCACGGTGGCTCACACCTGTAACCCCAGCACTTTGGGAGGCTGAGGCGAGTGGATCACTTGAGCTCAAGAGTTCAAGACCAGCCTGGGCAACATGGCAAAACCCCGTCTCTATAAAAAATAAACAAATTAGCCGGGTATGGTGGTATGCACCTGTGGTCCCAGCTACTTGGGAGGCTGAGGTGGGAGGATTGCTGGAGCCTGGGAAGTCAAGGCTGCAGTGAGCCCCGATTGTGCCACTGTACTCCAGCCTGGGTGACAGTGAGATTCTGTCTCAAAAAAAAAAAAAAAAAAAAAGTAAATACAAAATTAAAAGTATCAGGCCGGGCGCGGTGGCTCAAGCCTGTAATCCCAGCACTTTGGGAGGCCGAGGTGGGTGGATCACGAAGTCGAGAGATCGAGACCATCCTGGTCAACATGGTGAAACCCCGTCTCTACTAAAAATACAAAAAATTAGCTGGGCATGGTGGCGCGTGCCTGTAATCCCAGCTACTCAGGAGGCTGAGGCAGGAGAATTGCCTGAACCCAGGAGGTGGAGGTTGCGGTGAGCCGAGATTGCGCCATTGCACTCCAGCCTGGGTAACAAGAGCGAAACTCTGTCTCAAAAAAAAAATTAAAAATTAAAAATATCACAGAAATTTCTGTAACTCAGGGCTGCTTATTATATTCTGGCTGGAGACAGCTGTTTGCCCTAAAACCTTTGAGCCTGAGGCCTGTACTTTAATTAAAAAAGGGAGTTTAGCCCATGTTAGAGGGTTGGTAGAGACACGCTGGCCTCTTGGTAATGACCCGAAGGTTTATGGACGGAGTGTGGAGCCCGGAGTCAATGAGTTTCTCATGGTGTGCCTCCATGAGAGTCATGAGTTTCTCATGGTGTGGCTCTATGCCATGCGCTCCCTACCGCCCCGCTGTCTGCACCTCCCTCATTTTGGGAAACAGCACAGCCCCTGTAGTCACATGGACTGGGGTGTGAATCTGACTTCAGCATTTCCCGGCCCTGGGGCCTGGGTAGGTGACGGAGCCTCAGTTTCCTCACTGGTAGAATGGGGCAGAGAGCAGCACCTTCCTCTTGGGTTGGTCATGTGGGTTCTATGCGCTGAGGGTTGCTCCATGCTTAGCGTGGGTCGTGTGCATAGCAGGCAGTCCCTGAGCATGGCTGGGGTGTGCGTCAGGGCTGCCATCGGTGCGTGTCCCCTCTGGGTACCCGAGGTCACGAGGTGCTTTCTGTGGCCTTTTTCTTGTGGTCTCACGGGCTTCCTTGAGAGATGCTCCAGGGGAAGGGATTCTGGCCCAAACCATCCCCTCCCCAAGAGACTCACTGAAGTTCCTCTGTCTGAGCCGTGCCCAACCCCCTGCTGGGTCTCCCAGGGTCCGGTGTGGGTTGCTCCAGGGGCAGTTTAAATGCTTCCCAAGAGCGATCCCAGAGAACTGCATGAGACTCTCAGCCTTGTCCATTACGCACATTGATGGGGATTAATAGCAGTGACAATGACATGTTAGTTACGGGGCACTTCCAGTTGGTCAGGCACAGAGCTGTCACCCCAAAGCCCAGAGGAAGCCAGGTAATTACCCTCCATCCCCAGGGAAGAAACAGGCCCAGAGAGGTGGGCCACGGCCCAAGGCCACCCCATCGTGAGTGCCGAGGTCTGTCCGCTGCCAGTTGCTTGTAGGCCCTGAGCCACGTTGCCTCCTCCCTCCTGATCTAACCTTGGAAGGGCTTTTGGGACCGGCCCTGGGCTGGGCTTGTCCAGAGCCCTCTCCTGGGAGGCCCCGCACGCTTAGCCACCTCTCTCTGCTCTCAGAATGCCGACGGGAAGCTGACCCTGCAGGAGTTCCAGGAAGGGTCCAAGGCGGACCCGTCCATTGTGCAAGCGCTGTCCCTCTACGACGGGCTGGTATAGTCCCGGGCCAGGCCTGAGCGGGGTGAGTGTGCACTCGGGGCCTGGGGTGGGTCTGGGCTGGGTCCGAGGTAAAAATCCAGCACCGGGACACCTAGGGTTGGCAGGTAAGTACTTGGGTCTCTGGGGTTTGGGGGTCAGCCCAGTGGGGACATAGCTGGGAGGGGAGGCTGGAAGGGGCACTTTCAGATTGGTCAGAGCTCCTCTGTTTTGATCATTTTTTATAGACCCAGAATGGCCTGTGAGTTGGCTTGAACAGTTTTTCTGGGTTGGGTCGGGTGCGGTGGCTCATGCCTGTAATCCCAGCACTTTGTGAGGCCGAGGTCTGGAGTTCGTAACCAGCCTGGCCAACATAGTGAAACCCCCATTTCTACTAAAAATAGAAAAATTAGCTGGCCATGGTGGTGCGCACCCATGGTCCCAGCTGCTCAGGAGGCTGAGGCAGGAGAATCACTTGAACTCTGGAGGCGGAGGTTGCAGGGAGCTGATATTGTGCCACTGCTCTCCAGCCTGGGTGACAGAGCAAGACTCTAACTCAAAAAAAAAAAAAAAAAAAAAGAATTTTCCTGAGTGGAAGACACTTTGAAAATCAGTTCCCAACCAGGGCCAGGGGCCTGGGAGAGCAATCTCTCAACCCCTTTCTGAGCAACCGATCAAAGACCTAAGCTCCTGGCTGTCTGGATCAATAGCTCAGGGGTGTGTGTGTGTGTGTGTGTGTGTGTGCGCTGTCCAGTTGGATTTGTTGTAAGTGTAGAATGAGAGCATGCCCTGTGTGTGTGTGTGTGTGTGTGCGCGCGCTGTCCAGTTGGATTTGTCGTAAGTGTAGAATGATAGCATGCCCTGTGTGTGTGTGTTTGTGTGTGTGTGTGTGTGTGCGCTGTCCAGTTGGATTTGTCGTAAGTGTAGAATGATAGCATGCCCTGTGTGTGTGTTTTTGTGTGTGTGTGTGTGTGTTGTCCAGTTGGATTTGGATTTGTTGTAAGTGTAGGATGATAGCATGCCCGGTGTGTGTGTGTGTGTGTGTGTGTGTGTGTGTGCTGTCCAGTTGGATTTAAGTGTAGAATGATAGCATGCCCAGTGTGTGTGTGTGTGTGTGTGTGTGTGTGTGCGCTGTCCAGTTGGATTTGTCGTAAGTGTAGAATGATAGCATGCCCTGTGTGTGTGTGTGTGTGTGTGTGTGTGCGCTGTCCAGTTGTTGGATTTGTCGTAAGTGTAGAATGATAGCATGCCCTGTGTGTGTGTTTGTGTGTGTGTGTGTGTGTGTGTGCTGTCCAGTTGGATTTAAGTGTAGAATGATAGCATGCCCAGTGTGTGTGTGTGTGTGTGTGTGTGTGCGTGTGCGCGCGTGCGCGTGCTGTCCAGTTGGATTTGTTGTAAGTGTAGAATTACAGCATGCCCAGCAGAGGCTCCTGCTGCTGGTAGAGAGCAGTCTCCCTTCTTTCCCCCTCGTCCCCTCTCCCCTCTTTTCCTGCCTCTACTCTGTGGAGTGTCTGATGTTGCCTGGGGGGACTGGGCAGGAATAACGCCCAAGGTCTTGTCTAGCTATCAACGCGCTTGTCCGCGTCCTGGGGAGCCACTGGATGCCTGCTGTTGGTATATATGTCAGGGTGGAATTGCTGGGATGTAGGATGTGTGTAAATTTAGCTTTGGTAGTTACCAGTAAACAGTTTCCCAAAGAGGTTGTGCCATCTGCAATTCCACTAGTAGAGTATGGGGGTTCAAGTTGCTCCACATCCTCGCCAACACTGGGCATTTTCCATCTTTTTGAATTTTAGCCATTTTTGTGAGTATGGTGTGATAACTCCTCCTAAGTTGACCTCGCATTTCTCTGATGAGCAGTGACTTTGAGCGCCTTGTTGTTAAGTGTATCATCCATTTTAATGTGCTCATTTGTGACATGCTAGGTTAGTTATCCATTACCACACACAGTAGCTTAAGAATAAACATGAGGAATTTGGCACGGTTAAGCTGGGTGCCTCTGGCTCAAGGACTCTCAGGAGTACACAGTTCTCCTGTCAGTAGGGTTTGCCTGGGTCTATCCTGGATTTGGCAGTGTGAGTTCCATATTCTAGGAAACTCCTCAGTCCCGGGAAAATTGGGATATTCAGCCATTAGCCAGGGCTGTGGTCTCATCTGAAGGTTTGGCTGATGGCAGCCTGCTTCCAAGCTCACTCATGTGGTTTGGCAGCCTCGTTCCCTTGCCACGTAGACACCTGCGCTGGGCTGCCTCACAACATGGCTGCCGGTGTCCCTCAGAGCTTTCCAAGAGAGAGGGAGAGAAGGAGAGCCAGGATGAAAGCCACTGTCTTCCATTTTTTTTTTTTTCCAAGACAGAGCCTCACTCTGTTGCCCAGGCTGGAATGCAATGGCATGATCTCAGCTCACTGCAACCTCTGTCTCCCAGTTTCAACCAATTCTCCTGCCTCAGCCTCCTGCGTAGCTGGGACCACCTCCTGTGTAGCTGGGCTAATTTTTGTATTTTTAGTAGAGTCAGGGTTTCACCATGTTAGTCAGGCTGGTCTCTCGAACTCCTGACCTCATGAGCCACCCACTTCAGCCTCCCAAAGTGCTCCACTGTCTTTTTATAGCACAAGCTTGGAAGTAACATTCATCACTTTTTCTTTTTCTTTATTTCTTTTTTTTTTTCTGCGAACGGGTCTCACTCATCACCCAACCACTAGGTCATGGCTCATTGGAGCCTTGACCTCCCAGGCTCAAACAAGCCTCCCACCTCAGCCCTCAGCCTCCCAAGTAGCTGGGACTACAGGCATGTGCCACCATACCTGGCTAACCAAAAAAATTTTTTTTTGTAGTGTAGAGTCTCGCTAATGTTGTCCAGGCTGGTCTCAAACTCTTGACCTCAAGTGATCCTCCTACCTCGGCCTCCCAAAGTGCTGAGATTACAGTTGTGAGCCACTGTGCCCAGCTACAGATTGGTTTTTGAATGCTAAGTCACCTTGCATTCTTAGAATAAGCTCCACTTTGCCATGGTGTGTTCTCTTTTTCATGTATCATAAAATTTGATTTGTTGGTATTTTGTTTAGGAGGCCTACACTGTTTTTTGTTTCTTTTTTTCAAGACAGAGTCTCACTGTGTCACCCAGGCTGGAGTGCAGTGGCGCGATCTCAGCTCACTGCAACCTCCGCCTCCCGGGTTCAAGCAATTCTCCTGCCTCAGCCTCCTGAGTAGCTGGGAATACAGGCACCTGCCACCATGCCTGGCTAATTTTTGTATTTCTGGTAAAGATGGGGTTTCGCCATGTTGGCCAGGCTGGTCTCAAACTCCTGACCTTAGGTGATCTGCCCACTTCAGCCTCCCAAAGTGGTGGAACTGCAGGTGTGAGCCACTGTGCCCAGCCAGTGTTTGGAAGCTTTACTGTGTTTTGAATTATTATTATTTTATTTTTTACAAGCAATCCTTTTTTATTGAAGAGATGTCAGAAAATATATTTAATGAGAAATCCTCAATTAAAAAATTTATTTAAAAAAAATCCTTATGCATGACCCAGATATAAACACAGTGAGCATTTTCGTGTCCAGAGTGATTTAAAAAGAATTGAACACTTAAAAAACGTAGTGCTCAGTAAACGGAGTCACACAGAAATATATAATTAAAACCAACTTATAAAGAAACTCTCACCGTTATTAATATATATATTTTTTCTTTTCTGAGACGGAGTTTCCCAGGCTGGAGTGCAGTGGCGTGATCTTAGCTCACTGCAACCTCCACCTCCTCTGTTCAAATAATTCTTCTGCCTCAGCCTCCCAAGTACCTGGGTTTACAGGCGCTCACCACCATGCCTGACTAATTTTTGTATTTTTAGTAGAGATGGGGTTTCACCATATTGGCTGGGCTGGTCTCAAACTCTTGACCTCGTGATCTGCCCAACTCAGCCTCTCAAAGTGCCGGGATTACAGGAGTGGGCCTCGTCCTTTCTATTAGCTCTGCCAGAAAATGTCCTTCCTTCTCCTATAGGGCTGTTCTTTGTGCCTGTGCTGTAGTAATTATATCTAATTTGTGTTCTATTATTTTAATGATTTATTTGCCTCCTCAGGTTCCCGATAGCTCGTAATTCCTAGATCACTTGCAGTTATGTGAGTCACTGACTTATTCAGAAACTGAGATGAGGCTTATTTTCCACATCATTAAATGTTGAGACCATCATTTTTCATAGCTGCATAGTGCTCCATCACGTGGCTAGGCCATAATTTAAACAGTTCCGTGGTGTTAGATACTCAGGTTGTTGGAAATTTGGGGAAGAGATTTAAAAATTACCTATTATGGACCAGGCATGGTGGCTCATACCTGTAACCCCAGCACTTTGGGAAGCCAAGGCGGGTGGATCACTGGAGGTTGGGAGTTTGGGAGCAGCCTGGGCAACATGGTGAAACCCCGTCTCTACAAAAAACACAAAAATAAGCCAAATGTGGGGGTGAGCAGCTGTAATCCCAGCCATTTGGGAGGCTGAGGCCAGAGAATCACTTGACCCTGGGAGGCAGAGGTCGCAGTGAGCAGAGATCACGCCACTGCACTCCAGCCTGGGTGACAGAGCAAGACTCTGTCTCAACAACAACAACAACCACAAATGATCTGTTATGGAAGCATTCATACACAGTGGTAGAGAGAATAGTGTAATGCTGGCCGGCTGAGTGTGTTCACTCACACCTATAATCCCAGTGCTTTGGGAGGCTGAAGTGGGAGGATTGCTTTAGGCCAGGAGTTCGAGACCAGCCTAGGGAACATAGAGAGACCCCATCTCTACAAAAAATACAAAAATTATTCAGGTGTGGTGGCACATGCCTGTAGTCCCAGCTACTCAGGAAGCTGAGGCAGCAGTATTGCTTGAGCCCAGGAGTTCAAGGCTTCAGTAAACTAGGGTTGTACCACTATACTGCAGCCTAGGTGACAGTGTGAGACTCTTGTCACTTTAAAAAAAAATAAAGTATAATGCTGTGTACCCATCACCCAGCTTCCGAGTCCCCAGTTCCCCGCCAATCTTGTACCATCTGTGCCCTCCCCCTCCCACCCCCACTCTTGGTTATTTTGAAGCAAATTCAAGACATCATCATACTTAATCCATTTCAAAATGTATTTCTAAAAGATAAAGATTCTTTTTTTTTTTTTTTTTTTTTGAGACGGAGTTTCGCTCTTGTTACCCAGGCTGGAGTGCAATGGCGCAATCTCGGCTCACCGCAACCTCCGCCTCCTGGGTTCAGGCAATTCTCCTGCCTCAGCCTCCTGAGTAGCTGGGATTACAGGCACGCGCCACCATGCCCAGCTAATGTTTTGTATTTTTAGTCGAGACAGGGTTTCACCATGTTGACCAGGATGGTCTCGATCTCTTGACCTCATGATCCACCCGCCTCGGCCTCCCAAAGTGCTGGGATTACAGGCTTGAGCCACTGCGCCCGGCCTAAAGATTCTTTAAAAAATTTCGTAAAGCCAAAAAATCAATAATTCCTTAATACCCTCTGATCTCTAGTTGCTATTCTAGTTTTCTGTTATCTCACCATTTTATTTTTACTTTGTTTACTGAAATCAGAATCTGAATACAGTCTACCCATTGCAATTGGTTGATGGGTCTCTTATTTAGGCCATGTGCCATGGCTCACGCCTGTAATCCCAGTGCTTAGGGAGGCTGAGGTGTGCGGATCACTTGAGCCCAAGAGTCAAGACCAGCCTGGCTAACATGGTGAAACCCCATCTCCACCAAAAATACAAAAATTAGCTGGGTGTGATGGCATGTGCCTGCAGTCCCATTTACTTGGGAGAGCTGAGGCAGGAGGATTGCTTGAACCAGGGAGGTTGAGGCTGCAGTGAGCTGTGATTGCACCACTGCACTCTAGCCTAGGTGATAAAGTGGGACCTTGTCTCAAAAAAAACCTTTTAAATTTTCTTTTTTCTTTTTATTTTTTTGAGATGGAGTCTTGATCTTGTTGCTCAGGCTGGAGTACATGGTGTGATCTCAGCTTACTGCAACCTCCGCCTCTTCGGTTCATGTGATTCTGCTGCCTCAGCCTCCTGAGTAGCTGGGACTACAGCCACGTGCCACCACACTTGGCTAACTTTTGTATTTTTAGTAGAGACGGGTTTTCACCATGTTGGCCAGGGTAGTCTCGAACTCCTGACCTCAGGTGATCCACCCACCTTCGCCTCCCAGAGTGTTGGGATTACAGGCGTGAGCCATCACACCTGGCCTGAGTATCGATCTTTAGTTCTTCGGGTATATACCTAGGAGTGGAGTTGCTGGGTCATATGGTTAACTGTCTGTTTAACTTTTTGAGGAACCACTAAACTGATCTCCAAAGTAGTGACACCATCTTGCATTCCCAGCAGCAGTGGACAAAGCTTCCACGTTCCCCACATCCTTGCCAACGCCTCTTATTTTCCATTAAAAAAAAGAGATACCCATCCTAGTGGGTATGAAGTGGTTGCCTCACTGTGTTTTTCTTTCTTTCTTTTTTTTCTTTCTTTCTTTCTTTTTTTTTTGTTTTTTGTTTTTTGTTTTTTGAGACAGGGTCTCACTCTGTTGCCCAGGCTGGAGTGCAGTGATGCATTCTCGGCTCACTGCAACCTCCGCCTTCTGGGTTCAAGTGATTCTCCTGCCCGAGTCTCCTGAGCAGCTGGAATTACAGGTGTGTGCCACCATGCCTGGCTGAGTTTTGCATTTTTTGGTAGAGACCAGGTTTCACTGCGTTGGCCAGGCTGGTCTTGAATTCCTGGCCGCAAGTGATCCTCCTGCCTCAGCCTCCCAAAGTGCTGGGTTTAAAGGTTCAAGCTCCTGGCCCACCCTGTGGTTTGGATGTGTGTTTCCCTAATGACTCAGGATATTGAATATGTTTCAAGTGCTTTCGGCCATTCTATGCATTGTTTTTAATGGTTGTAAACAGTTTTATTCTGTGGGTGTGTCCTGATGTATCCCACCACTCCCCTGATATGGGACACCTAGGTTATTTTCTCGGCCTCCATTTTGGTTTTTGCTTTCTGCTGTTACAGATGATGCTGTGGTGAACATTTAATTAAGGATACATATGCAGAACCCAATGGGTGCCTCAGAGGTTATGCGCGTTTTTAGGACTTCTGACATAGAGTGCCCGCTTGCCCTCTCTCCCCCTTCCCACCAGCCCGGTGTGCCAGTCCTCTGTGGCTGGACCTCAGCCCCTATCCCCTGCAGCCGGATCTTACCCCATCCAGCCTCTTTGTGTCTTCCAGATGCCTGGGAACCACACACCTCCTCCTGTGCCATGAGGCCGCCTCAGCCCCACCACCACCCCCGTGTGCCCACCCAGCCTTCTTCCGCATCCACACACAGCCGGCTGCCCTTAACCCGGGAGGCCCCGGCTCTCCTCTCCCCTGCCCCGCACCCACCCGCCGCCTGAAGCCACCGGCTCCAATTGCCAACAACCTCTGCTTGTCCGGAAAACGGCAACGCGAAACGGAAAAGGCTACCGCCCTCTGCAGAACCAAGGACTCGGCTGCGTCACCGGCTGCGTCTCCGTTCCTCCCGCTCTCTTGCGCGTGTCCTTTTGGTTTTTATTTCGAACAGAAGTTCTAAAAGGAAAAAAAAAAAAAAAAGCAACGACCTTCTATCCTAGAAGACACAGACTGACAGATGGGGAGAAGGCCTGGGGACCTCAGAGAACTCTGCCTCGCCCCTGTCCCTCGCCCCTCGGCAGCCAGAGAGGCTGTGGGCGGGCTGGGGGCATCGGGGGGTTCTGGCGTGTCCACGTCATTTGTCGCCCCATCTTTTAGCAGGGAAACCACCTGCGTGGCTAGGATGATTCATTATGAGGATGATGGTTTTTTGTGACGGCAGTATTGTGCTTTTTGTGGGGAAAGTGAGGTTTTTTTTTTTATATATATATACGTATATAATTGATATCTTTTATTTATTGGTTGTTAACTGTTGCTGCTGCCTCGTGTGTCCTCAGCTCCCAGGGCTGGGGGCCACCGTTTACATGTGCACGCCCTGACCCACCTGCCCACACTGACTTGGGAGGATGGTGGCCTGCAGCGGCCAAGAAGCCAAAAAAAAAAAGTGTTTTTTTTGTTGTTGTTGTTGTTGTTTTTGTTTTTGTTTTTTTCCAGATACTGTGCTTGATTTTTTGGAGAGGGGAGAGGTGGAGATTCCTAATGCACTGTTCCCTCCAGCCCGACGCCTCCTGCCGAACCCCTTTTCCCTGCTGCCTCCGTCCCCCATCCTTGTTCTCCTCTGAGTCCGGAACATTTTTTTGTGAGGATGAACAGGGGACCTCTTCAGTTTCTCAACCCTTGCCTTGGTGTTTGCCGCAGCATGGAGAGCAGCGCCTGAGGCTGGGAGGCAGAAGAGCGGCATGGGACCCGGGCAGAGCCGGGGGACGTGGTCTTCGAAGGAAGTTAGCAGAAATAAAGGGGACCTCCTCGGGCTGGGAGGGGATTTGAAGATAGTTCATGACTCTCTCCCGCTCTGCCTTCCCGCCTTCCTGTCTGCTTTTCCCAGTAAACTGCATGGCGTCCTTCCCTGGCCCTCTGTTGGCTCAAAGGCTGGGAGGGAGGGAAGGAGAAGAGTCCCAGGCAGTCCCATCGAGGCAGCCCCTACCCCTGGGGCTGTGGCCCCTTCATCTTCATGGAGGCTTCTAGCTCTGTCTGCCAGTGAGGCAGGGGCGGCCCCAGAGCCATCACCAGGAACATGAGGCCACCCTGGACCGGAGGTGCTAGCCCGAGGTCTGGCCCTCGCTCTGTGATTGTGTAGGCCTCCTGCGCGCCCTGGGTCTCAGGTGCCCCACCTGCAGAGCGAGGCGGCCTGGGCCGCTTGGTGTTGAAGGCCCTTTTCCACGCTGACATTGTGTAGTTCTAGTCTTGGGGTTCAGTTTCCTGTGCTTGGTGATTCTGTGGCCTGTGGCTGAGTTTGCCTGACCCCAGCAGGCAGCCCCCGCGGCATCTCTTGGCCCCATCTTCACACAGAGCAGTTGCTGGTGTGTGGGTCTGTTCCAGCAGATGAACGTGTCACGTGGCACACTTTGTCCCTTCCTGCATTTCCTGGTCCCCCGTAGACCCTTGAGCTCCCTTTGGGGCCCAGAGCGATTCCTTGTTCAGGGAAGGCTTCTGAGGTGAGAAGCTGCTTGGCAGACTGTCAGGGCCAGGCCTGGGTCTGGAATTCTTGCTGCTGCTTTGCAAAGGCAACAGCCTATCATCCATGTTTTAGAGGGGACACTTCGACCCTCGGTTCCCACCCTCAGCAAGCAGCCCTCCAGACACAGGATCTCCGCTGGAGCGCCTTTGCCATGTGGGGCCATGTGGCTGTTCCCGGTGGCTGGAGCAGTCAGCGAACCCCAGCAGTCACCCCTGAGGCATTGGCAGCCCCCTAGAGCTGCACACTGGCCCCATTATAACCCACCCCACCCCCTTACCAACATCCTGCAGGGAGGCGATCAGTGGTTCCACCTTCACAGGCCACTTTGAAGGGTGAACTCTCTGAGGCCCCTCCCAGGCAGCTCCCTGCTCAGCCGCTGGCCCGGGCTAGCTGGGACTGGGCTCCAATTGCTGAAGTTTCTCAGCCGGGCTCTGACCTGGGGTCGGGGCAGGGGATGAACATGGTGGCTGGGGTTGAGAGGATGAAGGTCTTTCCCAGGTTGAATTACTTTTCTTTGGCCTCTGTCTGAGCCTCCATTTGCTCCTCTGGGCCAGTGGGACTAACACTGCTGTACAGCCGGGCCTGTGGCTGAGGGTGTCTGGGGGTCAGCACGTGGACCCCTTCTGTGTGCCCGGCCTTCCTCCACCATCCTGCCCTTTGGCCTTTTGGTTTGGAGCCACAGGTGTGGGTCTGGCCTTAGCAGATGGCATCCTGGCGGATCGCAGCCCAGTGTGCCAGTGGGCCCACGCCCCAAGCCAGCCCCGAGCTGCTGGGAGGGCCACCCTTCTTCCCTGCCCCGACGGGGTGCCAGACACTGGCCATTTTCGCTGGAGGTTCCTTGGCAGGGACGGATCTCTGCCCTCCCTCTTCCCACGCCTCTGGCTGCAGTGATGCCGCAGCGTCCTCAGCCAGGTGCCTGCTGAGCAGCCCATGCGCCTCTCCACAGCGGCGTTTCCACCTGATGGGGCTCCCTTCAGATGCTCTGATGCGGAGGCCAGCCCGTCATCCCTCGGCAGAGCCTCACTCTGCGGGGGCCAGGGCAGGCACCAGCCCCAGGTGGCCAGTGGACCACGGCCTGGCTTCTTCCTCGCAGCGTCTGCGCCTCACTTTGTGTTGATGGTGGCTTGGGAGAATGTTCCGATTTTCCATTATCTAAGCAGGCCGCGTTTAAAATAACATCAAGGCAAGCGTGCGTGTCGCCCTTTGTACTGACATCTCTGCCCCTGAAATGCTTTTCAGTTTGACAGCCCATTTCCTAGATAAGTGCACCTGGGGTTTCAGGAACTTTGTCTCTTTTGGGAGGGGGTCGGGGGCATGGTCGTGATGCCTGGGATCCTTTCCTGGAGAGTCAGCCTCTCTCCAGAGAAAGCCTCCATGGCTCGCCTGCCAGGCAGAAAGTGACCCTGCTCCCAGCGCGGTTTCAGCATTTAGTTTTAAGGGCGCTAAGGAAGTGCGGGGCGCCCCCTGGTGCTGGTAAGTCACCAACGCACCTGGGCTGCAACCCCACTGGACCGGTGGTCTGGAGGGAGGCTGGATCCAGGAGGCGAGGAGGGGGCTGTGAGTCCTCAGAGGCCCTGGGCCCCCACATTTCTGGCAGTGTTTCCCAGACACCCCTCTGCTAGGCCATCCCTGGATAGCAAGTGAATTAACTTAAGGGCACTGTGATGGGAAGCCTTGCCCCCCTCTCTTTTTTTTTTTTTAATATCTGCAGAATAAACCCAATGGTTAATTTTTGAATGAATAAAAGGCTTTTGTTGAATAAACAGCTGGTCCCATCTTCTGTCTTGGCATTTTAGCACCCAGGCTCAGGCTCTGCCCCCTCTCCAGGATGGAGTAGCCCCGAGTCGCCCTCCCCAGCCTGCACATTTCCCCATTGTCCCTGTGTCTGCCGTGGCCCCCCGGCCCCAGGGAGGCCCACCTCACTCCCAGCCTGACTCAGTGACCAGCTCCCTCCAGGACTTTGTGCAAGTCACCTCTGCTCATTGGGTCTCAGTTTCCCCATCCCTCGGATGGGAGCAATGGTCTCTGCTGGGCCCGCCTCCCAGGGGCCTGGTGCCCCCAAATGTGAGTGTCATCAACAAAGCCCCTCGCAGAGGCGGAGGTGGTGCCCGGGGGTGGTGGTTTGGACTGTGGCTGCCTCCCACCGGGAGCCTGCGCTTGGGAGAGAAGTTGGCATAACGCTTGCAGAACAAAAGGCAGTGTCTTCTGGCTGTGGTGATTTCCTTTCCCACTTGTCTTCCCAGCTCCCTTTGAGTCTCTTTTCCGGGTGCCCATCCTGTCTGAACCTGCTGGTGTGTGTCTCTGGGGCCAGTGTCAGGGCAAAGCTTGGGGGTGGACAGGGGCCGTGCAGTTTGCCCCGGCCTCCCCAGCTCCTGCTGTACGTTGTCCGTGTCACGCCAATTAAACACGCTTCCTGGACCTGTCCTTGCCTCCCTGTGTGGGCCTGTTGCTTTGTCTGTTTCTATTCTTTTCCATTTCGTTTTAGGTTTCTTTCCCTTGTGACACCCTTTCTCTGACTTTGGGTGCTGTCTGCCCAGTTTCCTTAAGAGAAATAATATGTAGGCCAGGCATGGTGGCTCACACCTGTAATCCCAGCACTTTGGGAGGTCAAGGCGGAAGGATCACCTGAGGTCAGGAGTTCAAGACCAGCCTGACCAACATAGTGAAACCCCACCTCTATTAAAAATACAAAAGTTAGCTGGGCGTGGTAGCAGGTGCCTGTAATCCCACCTACTTGGGAGGCTGAGGCAGGAGAATCACTTGAACTCGGGAGGCGGAGGTTGGAGTGAGCCAAGACCTTGCCATTGCACTCCAGCCTGGGTGACAAGAGTGAGACTCCATCTTAAAAAAAAAATATATATATATATATATATGAGAAAGAGAGAGAGAGAAAGAATGTGCAAAGTGAAAACCTTGGGCATACGATTAAACCAGAAAAATCTCCAGGAGTGTTTTTGCGAGGCCAAGAGTTGAACGGGGGAGGCCCCGCCCATTGCTACACCCGCAACATACCCTTTCCTGCCTGTTTCATCTAGTGCAGGGGTCTCAAGAGGGCGGCTGCTGCTTTAAAACCATCTGAAAACCATTGGCCTGGACCAGTGGCTCTCAAAGTCGAGTGTGTGTCACCTGGATTGGAGGCTGTTTCACACCCAGCTTGCCAGCCCAGCCCTGGAGTTTTTGATTAGGAGCATCCGGGCCGGGGCCTGGGAATCTGCATTTCTAACACGTTCCTGGGCTGTGCTGTTGGTACAAGTCTGGGAATCACACTTGGAGACCCCTGGGAGATGTGTGCAATGCAGCATGTCCAGTTGGGTCCTGCCTTCACTGGCTTAGGGATTCCGGCTAACCATTCATTCACCCCATATGACTTTTGCACCTGTGATGGGCCAGGTGCAGAGGGCCTTGAGATTGGTTGCTGACCACAGGGAGGGTTGCGTCAGGAGGGAAGGTGGGGAGATGAGTAGCTATTGTACAAGCTCCTGGCAGGCACCCCGAGAGACGGTAATCTGTGTGGCTGCCCTCCTCCAAGCCCCCCTTGGCCTGGAACCTGGGATCGAGGAAGGCCCTCCTCTTCCCCCTCTGATCAAGTAACCCCGCGTTTGCTCAGTATGCATGGGCCCTGCCATGCTGGGGAGGGGGATCAGAGGAGGTGGTCCTTTTCACTTTCATAGCTTGTTAAAAGAACATGAATTCAGAGAGCAGTAAAGGCCAACGTGGACTCAGGAGCGTAACTGCTGGTTAAATTCATTGCTCTTGGCCAAAACCTCTTGCAAGACACAGGAAGAGTGTGGATTGGTAAGATTAAGCAGCCCATGTTAGAATGAACCACCGCCTGCGAACACAGGCCACGTTTCAGAGTGGGTTTTGTGAAAGGTATCATCAGATCACCACTACCTTCCAGGCACAGCTGGAGGGCCCACGTGACTTCTGCTTTGGGGTTGAAACAACCATTGAGAAATGGACGCAGCAATGTCACCCTCAGTGGCCATGCTGGGCATCCAACATTGTGCCTTGCTCTCGTGAGTCCTAGAGTGAAGATGCCAGAACTCCCCAGACCTTCAAGAGAGTTCCAAAGCATTATGGAAAGGCAGCGTGGGACTGTGGTTGGGGCCACAGGTCGGGGAATCTGACCTGGTTCCCAGCCAGGCTCTTCCACTTGACGCTGAGCATGTGCTCTGATGGACAGGGGTCTTCTGGTAAAAATGTGGACCTTTAATGAGAGGCAGACGATGGCTTGACAGCCCCTGCCCCACAACCTCGCCAGAGGTGGAATGTTGCAATGAAGGCAGGTGTTAGATCAAATTCTGCCAGAAGGCCAGATATTCACTAGCAGGTAGGTACAAAGAAAGGCATACACCTGTACCTGTCCATCCAGGGGACGGGGGCTCCAGGACTCCAGGAGCCTTGCCCCTGAGCACAGTCCTGAAGCACCAGGCTGCTGGTCTTCCCACATGGTGCACGGTGCTGAGCTCTGAGAATCCTTCTAGCCAAGCATGTATCTTCATCACATTACACTTCTTCTATGAAAAGGGACGGCTAACATTCTTTGTGCGGGTAAACTCTGTAGTGTAGATTTTAATAACAGTACATATTTAAAATGCTAATGTGACACCCTCTGGAGGGCTGATTCCTGACTAGAGTGTTTCACACACTTGGCGACTGTCCCTGAGGCAGAGATCGGAGGTAATTTACATGGCCACACAATATGCTGTTTCCACCGAAGCATTGCAAGGAAATCTGTGCACGGGCCCCTTTCTTTGAAAATACCAAGCTCTGGCTCAGAGGGCCGTGGTGAGGGTAGCTGAGACAATGTTTCCAGCAAAGGGTGAGCTTGAATGGGGGTGAGCGCTTGGTGAAGGAAACTCAGGTCTTTTCCAGCAGACTTGGGTGTGGTGTCCACAGGGACCACAGTTTCAGAGGGCATAGGATGGGTCATGGTTCCTTGCTGTGCTCTGGGTCAGGCTAAAGCCTGTGCTGACTCACCCTGGCCCAGCCTGCGCTGGATGGCTTACTGTGGGCTCAGTAGAGGCACAGACTTGGCCACCTGTTTTACCGGGATGGCTCAGACCGGCTGCCATGGCCCTGGGTGTGAGCACCGTTGAGTCCTCCTAGGCGGACCATCCTAGACGTCCAATTGCTCCCCACCTCGGGCCTTCCACCCTGTCCCTGCTTACCCCGCCAAGCCCCATGTTAGAAATTCTTTCCCTAAATTGTACTCCCCAAAGCCCAGCTCAGGGCATCCCCAGGCATAGAGAAGAGATGACAAGGAGAATGGTAGGGAGTTGGGCTGGGGGTGGGAACGCAATACGAATTCCTGCTCTACAGTGGCCCCCTCCTCCCTGCCATCTTCCTGCTTAGGAAGTACAGAGGCAGAAACTTACCCTCCAGGTTCCTTGGTCTGGAGGAGCTGGTTCAGGGCAGTGGGCATGGAAAGGATCTGTGAAGAGCCCCTGAGCTTAGGTAAAATGAGCTTGGGTAGGTATGGAAAAGCCTTCTATATGTTCCCCTTATCTCTTTTTAGCTGGGCACAGGGCCACTTGGAACAAAGGACTACATTTCCCAGCATCCCTTGTGGCTGAGGGAGGCCATGTGACCCAGTTCTAACCAATAGGATGAGAAGGATGAGCATAACTTTTCCCCCACTTCCCTCTTCCGGCTGGCTGGCTGGAGGACTCTGAAACAAGCCTTCCTGGAACTGGGTCTTTGACCCCATGGAGCTGCCACACCAGCCTTGGACCATTGCTGCTGGGGCTCTTAGGCGGAAGAGAGACAACTTTATCTTGATTAAACCATCCTGGGTCTCTGTGTCAACAGCCCAATTTATATTCTCCCTAATGTGCCCAGTGATCTGCTGGGTCGCTTTCAGTGACTTCATGCCACTTGCAAATGTTTGCATCTAAACTTGCAATGTTTGCCAGAATGATTTAACAAGCAGCTGTACGGTGCAATGTGCTGGTGTAACTCCTGCTTGCTCATGCCTTTCCACCTTGTCTTCTTCCTTTTCCCTCTCCCTGTCCCACTATGCCCTCCACCTCCAAGGGATACAGGGGACTGAGGGTCCCAGCCTGAGGGACTCCTTGCATAAAGGCTTTCTTGTGCTGAAGGACTAGGGACCTCGAGGCTCTAAGTTACTGGGGAGCCCAGGGTGGCCCCTGAAGACTGGGCCAGTTGGGTTTTCACTGGGTAACCACAGGGGACTGGGCAGGCTGGCCTCGGGTTGAGCTCAGAAAGGATTCTGCTAAGGGCCTCAAGACTTGGGGACCAGAACTTTTCTTCTCTCTACAATCTCCTGCCTCAGAAATTGCTCCCTCCCCCGAGAGACCTGAAATAAGCCATCCACATGAGCAGATCTTGGGGATAAAAAATATGATAAAAAGTAAAACAGTTTTTTTCAGACAGTCAGGGAGAAGGGCAGGAAGAGTCCCTTCAGTATCATTGTCAGGTGACCGAGAGCAGGTCCTGTTTTAGTCACTGGACTGTTGGTTGCTCCAGAGGCGAGGGGAAGTCTTTGTGCTGTTGTGGAGGGCCCGTTTTATTCTCTGAGGATTCTGAAGTCCCAATTCATAACGTTGGGCATCAAGAGGCCTTCCTGCTTTAGAAGGGGCAGATCCGTGCAATGCCAGAGCTGGGACCTGTGGGTGAAGGTGCAAGGGCCAGCCTGGGAGGAGGAAAAAAGGGAGCTCCCAGGCGGGGTGCGGTGGCTCATGCTGCTAATCCCAGCACTTTGGGTGGCCAAGGCAGGTGGATCACTAAAGGCCAGGAG